ACAAGGCAAGACAGTCAGTTGAAACTTTGCAGGGATGTTTTATGTGCTTGCATGAGCTAAAGATTTCAAATTTAGCCATTGCGCGCGCCTGTGCGTATGGCCACCAAAGTTTGCAGCTGGAGCTGTGTCAACTTGAAAACTGGCTGGAAAACAGTGATTGAAATTTTTTCAGAGTGTTTATCGTTCAAGTGGGAAATCGTATACCTAAAATGAGTTCTGATTTGCACTTGCATCATGACTTAGCGCGCTGTAAACAAATTTGTATCAAAGTGGCTGTTTCGTTTACCGGATAATGTGCGAGGCTGAAACTCCGCTTGGTTATTCTACTTCTAACTGCGGTCTTAAATCTGCTTGGAAGTAAAATTCGCTGCAGGTGGTTATGAGAAATACTCACGTTTACCACAAACTCAGAAACGAGTTCATTTTGTGGCGAACGACGGCCCTTATCCTCCCCAACATCCAGTTCATTTGCATGTTTGCATTTTTTGACGAACGACCGTTCTAACAACATTCGGACTTTTTATTGAAGAACTGGAAATGGATGTTACTCGTTGCAAAATGCACTCGCTTCTGAGTGAACTCTGCGTAAGAAGTTGAGCGAAAACGCATGCTCGCGCCGACTAGCCTGGTGCGTTCCAGTCTGAGTTATCATGTTCCGAAATCGCTTCTCAATAAAATTTACGTACTTTCCAGGGCCCGTGCGAGAGAAGGTTTACATTAACGTTCATTTTAAACCGAAAATGCGGCACTTTGGGTGTCCCTAAAAATTCAGCTTCCTGGCTTGTCTGATTTCTGATTTGAAAGTGAGTGACGAAGTTCGCTCGCTTCTACACTGCGCTTCTTTGCACTTGCATAATATGCAAAAACGCGCAAAAAGTCCTGGAAAATACTGCTTCGCCGTCTCTCCACATTTTGTTATGTATATATGTTTGTATCTATGTTTATACTTATGTTCCTATGTATATGTGCATGTATATATGTATGCATATTTATTATTGTATGTATGTATGTATGTATGTATGTATGTATGTATGTATGTATGTATGTATGTATGTACGGTATGTATGTATGTATGTATGTATGTATGTATGTATGTATGTATGTATGTATGTATGTATGTGTGTATGTATATATGTATGTATGTATGTATATATGTATGTATGCATGGATGTATTTATATATGTATGCATTTATTTATATATAAGTACGTATGTATGTGTATGCATTTATGTTTGATTGATTATATACACTGCGGATCAGTAGCAACAGCAGGAGCAGTACTCTACAAATTTTTGGAGCAGGCATGTTTTAATGCTTGTGCAGTTTGTGCATCGTCCACTCATACTCTGTCTGCGAGTTTGCTGATTGTTATATATAAAAAATTTTTGTTAAGACAGCCTACAGGCAGCAATCTGCTTCGCATTTTAGCGTTTCTTAGCTTCTTGTCGTGAATTCTAAGCATGCCAGAAAATTTGATACCGATTTCATTGCCGAAATTCAATCCGAACAAAGTGTAAGTAGTTTGGAATCGGTCACAGCCACTGTTTAATCATTTCACATGCCATACCAGTCTAGGAAAGCACTTCGTTGTATTTCCATTGTTGAGTTTAGGCAGTGCAGTGAATGTGGTAATGAAAAGATCATAAAGACATCTTAAAAATTGACCCAACCTGCTTGCAAGGTTTTATGGAGGAAGACACTCTTGTTTTTGGGTCATGCAGCTCAAACTTTAAAGTAGTATATCGGACTTATACCGAGTTTCTAAGAATGAAGAAGAACACAACCCTAAAACTGCTGAAGATATGGAGAACTCATGACTAAAAAACAGGTGTAGTTGTCGGATTCACTACTGGAGAAAGTTGGGGACATGAATAAGTGGTGACTAAGTAGCCTTTGCAGATATCAAAAATCGCATAATCAATAGCTCTTTTTTCTCGAAAGCAGTAACTCCAACTGAGTTTTGGAAAGTTCACGGTTTTGGAAAGTTTATTACTCAAAAAACAAACCTGTCTTTTCGAATGTTTAGCTTCTGAATGTTAATAACATTCAAAGCTCTAAACCAATGGTAAAACGAAGATGGTGGATGGAACATGTTTGCAATTAACGTGTATCTTATAATCGTAATTTTTAACATAATCAAGAAGTTCTAGTGAAGTTTAATTCATATGTTAGTGATAATTAAGTAGAATAAATGGATTTACAAGACAGTGAACGACCACTCGAGCGACCCGGAAGAGGTGGCGCACATACATCGAACAGGCGGTGGCTACAAGCTGAAAATATACAGCTTGGGATCGAAGGGTCTGGCATAGCTGTACTCGGAGTGTGGAAGCATCTCAGTAATAAAACTAACAGGAGATATCCACACTGAGAATCTGAGCGATCATGTGCTCTTAACAAATAATGTCGCGCACCAGATGATCGAAGCAATCATATCGTTGCAGCATATTACTCCTAGATGTAATGGGTGATGCCATTCCCTATCAGAAGATTTTCATCCATCCAGTATATGTCAACTGGAAAAATCCGTATTCAGAAATCAGTATGAACATTTGGTGAGAGAGTACCCCTACAAAACCAGTTGTGACATAAATGTAATTCATAGCCTTTTTTTTTCAAATA